ATTGCTGATCATCTACTTTTTTCAAGCCAGCGTAATCACTTTTTAATCTTCAGCTTTAATTAAAAACCACAGAGTGTTTAGAGCAAGGGAAAGTGAAGCATCCTGAAAGGCTACTAAGTAACTTCCTGCCGACTTCTTCAGGCATTCTTCGCTTTCTTCAGAGACCTCGTGCCCCTTCCACTCCGCCATAAAACTGAAGAAAAGATTGCATGTTTTCTTTTCTCTGTGTCATTGTGGAAAAAAAAAAATGTTCCTCTTCTCGAATGGTTTTCAAGCGGTCGTCGTGTTTTTTTTTTGTTTTTTTTGTTCTTGAACGCTCATAACTGTGTCAACGTGACGAACTAATTTCAGTGCTATTTCATAGTGATATTTATTTTTTACTAATGCTATTTATATGTAAAATATACGACATAAATGTGATTTTAGTGTATTATCAATAGTGTCTATGGAAGCACGGTATTTCTATTTCCGTCTGTTGGTGAAAAAAAAAATTCCAGTTTCTTTCAAAATTTCTTCATATATTTATAAAAGAATTAAATGATGAATGAATGAAAAATGCTTTATTAAATATGCATAAATTATAAATTTCAAAGTATACATACAGAACATTTATAAGTTATGATTATTCGTCTACCGGAATTATAGATCTGATAAAGGAATAAAATGTTACAAAATTAACTATATACCGATTTTTAGAGAAAATCCTTTAAATAAAGTTGTGGAATACGAAAATCAGAAAATGAAACCGTGAATACATAACTATTTAAATGAATACAATACTTAAATAAAATGAAAGACAGAACATGTAATTGGGGCAAAAAAGAAACACAGTATATAGACAATGCGAAATCTGTGAATTAATGTACATAATAGATACCTCCAACAATTAGGATAAAAAAAAAAAAAAACTTAAAATTAACGTAAACGATCATAAAAACACCAAATATTGAGTAAATGAAAGAAACTTTTAACTAAAATAAAATAAAAAATTTATGAGGAAATTATCATGGATTGGGGCTATAATTAAGGAATGAGGAAGATAGAGTAATAGATATAACTTTCTTAAAGAATACTACAATTATAATAATATAACTTATATTGTAAATTTTTTATGTTTGTAAATTTAAGGATTTACTCTAAGAAAATATGACCGGTTTTCGGTTTTGCACGGTTTTCAGTTAAGTTAAGAGGAACCAAGTTTTAATATTATTTCCGTGATTTGTTTTCCATTCGTCTTTAGTTAAATATGAATTTAAATACTTAAAAATTAAGTGAACATGAAATAAACTTGAGACGATTAAAAAATTCTTTGATATTCTATTTTGGACATCTCCATCATAATAAATATAAAATTTGTTATATTTTTACATTTCATTACATCGTATTGAAACTGTAACATATTAGATACAGTATTAACATTATTCTCACAAACAAGTATTTCATTGCGTAATAAATAATTATCATATTTTTTCAACCACATAACTAATTGAATAAAATAATTCAACATGGGTCAAAAGAGTATAATTTACTTTCTATTGAATTTATTGATCGACGGAAACTTCCAAACAAAAGAATTATTCTTCGAGGGTCACAACCAAAAATCGATTTGTTATTTGGCAAGAGAGTAAGAAAGAGGATAGTAATGGGATAGAAACTATTGTGATTGGTACAATCCAGCCACGGAGCTGAATTACGGTTAATGACAAGGCAGCTCAGGACTTCTTAGTAATAAAGAAAATAGAAGAAGATGGCAAGCATTGAATGTAGGCGATGGCGGAAATTGGCTAGGTATAATGGCGGATCATCAGGGGGCAACTTTTAATGGTAGGTCGTTAGGCAGCTGATCATAGCGGCACTTATATCCGTTCTCTCTCACAACTGGAGGAATCTCTGGTATCCCCCTCTAGTCAATGGCGAAGAAATGACAACTGTACGCTGGGTGCTTTAAAGTGAATTTAAACACTATTGGGAGTAAACATTTTAATACGAGAAAGGGTAATAGCACAGTATAGGAATAATAATATAGTTCGTATATTATTATCGTAATATTCGTATTAATAATAATATTCGTATATTAATAATAATACTTAGTAATAATATACGTCGGGATGAGTCTCTAACCTGGATCCGTTAGTGGATTTAATTTTGGGAGGGGCTTCAGCCCGAAAAAAAAAGTTTGTAAGTATATAATAGGATAATTACTTCGAAAGAAACTAAGTCAAGCTTTAAGTCCTATTAAATGTAATTAGACGAACAACAGTACTTTTAGAGATAATTTTTTTCATAAAATCTCTCCCTCTCCGTAGATCCACCTGTGAGTCATAAAATGCTATATAGTTGTCATTGGAAGCAATAAAGAGGGTATTGAGAAACTCGCCAAGACTAATAAGATAAGCAGGGAAAATCGGCTTATATGAAAATGAAGATAAAATTAAATACTCTTATATGATAAAAAACGAAAAATCCTCTCCAATAACAGGATCTGCGTAGAAGAGAAATCGCTCTCGAGATTAGACAAATTCAAATACCTAGGTTCACAATAATGACCTGAATGACGGGCGGAAATAGACCAACGATTACTAGCGCAAACGTAGCTTTCTTATCTCTTGCAAAGTTATTAGAATCCCAAAAAAGCTAAAATTAAGGGTATACAATGCTAAAATAAAACTAGTTTTCATATACGGCAGCGCGACCTGGACTCTAACCAGCACTCTACAAAGAAGCATTGAAAGATTTGAGAGAATAATCCTCGGCACGATAACCATAGCGATCTTGGATCAGATTACTAACGCATTGAGGAGAAATAGCAATAAATAACTGCTTACAGAAACTGGTCAATCAATACCTCATGATATGAAAGCAAGGAGATTAAGATTTGCAGGGCATGTAGCTCGGAGCAATCCATCAGGAAGCCTCTAAACAACAATGAATGTTTCAATAGTAGGTAAGAGCCTAAGTGGAAGGCCAACGATTAGATGGATAGATGGAATTATCTAAGATGCATTACATCTGCATACAGATAACTGGAAAGAAATAGGACAAGACAAGTAAATATGAACAAAGGTAGTTGAGGCGGCAAAAGATCTAGAAGGTCTGTTATCCCAACAGAAAAAAGAAGTAATAATAGGAATTTAGTAAATAATAATATCTAAAGTAATGGTATAGTTTAGTATACAATAAAACATAGGATTTTTATCATTAAACCATCTTATCATTACAAGCCACAATATTTTTTACTTTCACTTACCTATATATGTAATATATAGTAAGGGTAAGTATTGCGATCGTGAACATTTTTGAATCTGAGCTTTCAACGGAAATACACGTTTTGAGGTCCCCTAAGTCCAAAAAACCAGGTCCCGAAAAATGGTCTGTGTTTCTATTTGTATGTGAATAGTCTAGCTCAAAAACCAAAAGTTGTACGAAACTGATGTTACATATTTAAGAGAGGTACATGCCTTAGATATGGCAGCAAGTTTTTCCTTAAAATCGGCTTACCGGAAGTGCCAATTTATATCAACTGTGAAACACATCTTTACAATTTTCTAAAAAACGGCTTCAACTATTTTGATTAGACTCGGTGTATCATTTTATAATAAAGTGGTCTTTATCATTTTGATCTTATCCCAGTTGATGTCAGGGCTTAAATGTTCATATACGTCTGCCTCTAAAGTACCTTTAATGTGGTTTATTTTAAATAATTAACTATCTCTCATTATTAATAGTTACCAAAAATGCTAAATATAACTTTTGAAAGAATTTGATAATTGAATAAAGGGGAAAAAAATAAACATGCTTATCCAACTCGAAAATGAATCTCCGGAATTACTAGTCAGAAGGTATACGTATAATATATCATTGGAAAGCTGAGGGTTTAAAAAAACAAACAACATCTAATATAGATAGTTGTAGAAGGTATCGGAGAGTGGCGAAAAAATTATAATTAATAATTTCAGAAAACTAACATTATTTAACGTAAATCACATGTTTCTAAGGAAATTAAATGAAATTTTCTTACTGAAAATTCAAACCCAGTCAAAATGTGCCCCCTTAAACATTTTAATGGCGCATCTTGCGCCATGAAACCCTCTTCTGGCCACCGGTAGAGATCTCAAACTAGAAATCTGGCCTAAAACCTACTTGTTTCTGGGTAATTTGTAATGAATTTTCTCACCGTCATGCACAGGCGGGTCAATGGAGGAAAGGGCTTTCGTCCTGAAGCCCCCTCCCCTCCAAATGGTAAAATATAACCATCTTAAGAAAAAATATTATAAATTTATCTCTAAAAGTATTATTGTTGATGTAATTACATGAAATAGAACTTCAAAAATCACTTAAACACCATTTAATATTGATTGTAGGATCTTTCTCCTTCTTAGAAAGTAATAATCGTTATATATATTTATATAAAGCTTTCGGGCTGAACCTCCACCAAAATTAAATCCTGCATCCGCTAATGTCCCCATGTCTCTTGTTATTTTTTACGTTTTCAATCTGTTTAACTGGAACTAGCTGAGACGAGTTTGGCCTTTTCATCACCAACATGAAAATTGTGGGTTCATAAAAATTGCTCCAAATTTGATTTCTTAAAATATTACACAACGTTGACACTAGTGAGTGAGTTGTAAGCATATGCATTATTGTAACGAATTCGACTCGCAGCATTTTTACTACTTTTGTTTCAACGTCGTAGAAGGGGTGACCCCAAAATAAAAGCAGTGACCTAGGAGGTCAAGTGATAAGATATCCACGACTCTGTCATCTGATACTGAATAATTATTTACAGATGAGTTCATTTTGTTTTTAAATAACTATTTAATATTTTTTATTATAAACCCTAACCATCACCTCTGATATATTAGCTATTACAACGGAATACAAAATTTGCTTCAATATCAATATTCCAGTGTTATCTGGCAGTTGTATAACCAGTGTAATACCATTTTATGGATATTAATTTCATTTGAAGTAATAATAATGATTAATTAAAATAAAATATTAATTATATATCTGTTGTAGGGAGCCCTTCACCAAGGTTCTAGTCCACTAGAACCAAGGATGGCGCAACTGGAGACCCTCGAAGCAAAGGTAGAGTTATTTATTATTTATATTAAGAATCAATTACTTCAAGATTAACAACTAATTTAATTTTAAACATTTTCATGGTATTAAACAATAATTATATATATAATCGTCAATTAATGATATTTTACTGCTCCTTATTACGTTATTTTCAAATATATATATATATATATATATATATATATATATATTGATAGAAAGAGGTAAATTTTGATAGGAGTGATAGCAGACCTCAAGACCTATAAAAAAGTCAATAGGCCAATTTTCAGCAGAAAATTAGAAAATCGAAGTTTTTTTTTTAAAGAGAGTCATGTTTTTTTTGTTAAATAGAAAGCGATAAATAAAGAAATATTTAATTTGAGTAATTAAGAATTACTTCACTGTAAACTAGATAAAATTTACTGTAATTGAAAAGAGAATTTGTCATTATTAAAACTATTTAAAGAGGACATTTGAGCGACTAAAGTAAGCAAAGTTCTGTTTTTAAAAAAAATTACAAATTATTCGAGATTTTTTTTTTATCATCATCCAACTATACTACCGTTACCTCACTTTTAGCAAAACTATCTCGTTTAATAAGGTTTAAGTTTATATTAATTAAATTGAGGTTTATTAGGTGATTTTTTATCCAGGCTCCTAAAAGTCTCCGTGTTTTCAGCAAAAATAACTACAATTAACAGTTGTGCAGCTTTTATTTCTTGTTTTTCTGTGATGTGAGATGAATTTCTTTAAATCTGGGAGAAAAAACACAATTTAGTGACCACTTTATATGAAAAATATTTAAAATACAAAATTTAAAATTGGCGATATTTTAAATATTTTTCAAGTAAAGTAGTTATGAAATTGTGTTTTTCTCCCATATTTCCATCATAGGAATTGATCCTATTTATCAGTGTCAAACATAATGTTTCTATTCCTAAAATTGACGTTTAAAATAAAGAAACTACTGATTGCTTCAATTATTTTCATGAAAACGTATATATTAGGGCTAGAAACATTAAGGTTGTCACTCAGGAATATGGATCAACTCCTATGACAGAGATTTGGAAGAAAATACAATTTCATAACCACCTTACTCGAAAAATATTTTTAAAATCGTTATTTAAAATTTTTTTATATACATAATGTTTTTATAATTCATCCCAGACCATGGAATAACAAGGTATAAAAGCATTGCGAAACAGTTGATTGTAGTAATTTTATCTGAAAACACGGGTAATTTTAGGAAATGGAAAAAAAAAAAGTCATTTCCTTACACAACTTGAGGTGAATCTCAAGTTTTTGCCTAATAAACCTCAATTTAATTAATATAAATTTAAAACTTATTAAACGAGAGTAGTTTTTATAAAAGCGGGTTAACTGTAGTATAGTTGGATGATGATAGAAAAAAAATCGAATAATTTATGAATTTTTTAAAAACAGAATTTAGCTTAGTTTAGCCACTCAAATGTCCTCTTTAAATGGTTTCAATAATGACAAACTCTCTTTGCAATTATAGTAAATTTTGTCTAGTTTACAGTGAAGTAATTGTTAATTACTCAAACTAAAAATTTCTTTATTTATCTCTTCCAATGCAACAAAAATCATGACTCTCTTAAAAAATAATCTTTGATTTTCTACTCCTCTGCTGAAAATTGCCCCATTGTTAATATAAACTTATTTGTAGGTCTCGAGGTCTTCTATCACTCCTATCAAATTTCCCTCTACTTACGGGACACCCTGTGTATGTTTTTAAATCAATACAATAAGATATCATGAACGAATACAAATTCAGTCCTGAAAAAACTGGAAAATATTTGCTCGAAAATTACCTTTGAACATAATAAAACTTAGATATTTCTTGTTTTTAATTATATCTTAATTTCGAAAATTAATTTTTTCTTACTAATGAAAGTGTTATTTGCTTATTTTCACCTTGTTACTCAGAATACATGGTTAATCGCAATATTTCTGAATAGAATAATGAGTCAATAAAAAAAAAAAAAAATTGTCTTCTGTGGACAACGCTTTAAATTTATTAAATAACACCTTCATCTAATCATGTCTTCAAAATATCAACTTTCAAATCACTCGACCATTCAGATCCACGAAGTATTTTATTCTCATACATTCTCGTGTGTTTCTAATCACTGGACAAACAAAACAGACTAAGTATAGAATGGATATAGCGGTGTCAGAATCCATAAGTGAATTTTTGTTTAAAATATATAATTATTTTATTACAATTAAGTTAACTTTGATATCATCTACTTTAAAAATAACTGAGATAGATGAAGCTTTATAACGGTAATTATTGTGGGTAAAAAAATGAAAGAAACTATGCCATATGTTTAAGTGGTCCTTGAACACAAGATAAAAAAAAAACTATTTATATGAACTGGACTTTAAGGCATATTTTTTTTTAATTAATTAAATATTGGTCAAGGTATGGTCCAGCCCGAAATCCCTCTCTTACCCCCTCCCTCGTGGTTTCACGAGTGTTATTAAAGTACTCAATGAAGTATACGTTGATATAGAAGTAGTCGAGGAAACCAATAACTAATAAGGTTCAACGTTTTTAGATTCAAGGCGAAAATCAATGAAATGATCTTATTGTGATAGATTCTTTTTTGTGAAGTGGTCATAATAGGGCCAGGGGTCCATTGCAAAGGAAACTAATTAGTGAGTCCTTGGTGACCTTAAGGCTCGCTCACGACTCAAGAAAGAAAGGTAAATCTATTATTGATTGGCCGACGCAACCGACCAATAGGCTGCGGCGTTCAGGGTCGGTCACTGGAGGCACGAACAATATCGTAATTGGCAATGTCGCTACGGCCGTATAATTGAGAACTGTTATCTGCCAAAGGACAAGCGGAATTGGATTTATAGAATAATAGATTAACCTATCACATCCTTCGATTCAGCCGCTCGTGAAAATAATACATGTTTGAGCCCACTTAGAATATTAAAATAGTTTTACATGATTAATAAAAAAACCTTTAAGAAATTAAATTACATTATATTGGTACAGATACTGCTACGGGTGGGGCACTAGCGGATCCAGGATTTGATTTTGGGGGGCTTTAGCCCGAAAGCTTTTTTTTTCATAAAAATAACTATAATTACTTTGGGAAAAAAGAAAGAAACTAAATACCTGTATGAAATAGTGTTTAAGTGATTCCTAAATGTAATTACACGAACAATAATACTTTAAGAGACAATTTTTAATTTTTTTTTTCCATAAAACATGGTTATATTTTACTATTTTGGGGGGAGGGGCGGCTTCAGCCCCAAAGCCACCTCCTCCGTAGATCCGCTCGTGTGGTGGGAGCACTAGTCCGCCAAGTGGGCCCTACCGTGGTTCTTTTTGTTAACCCCTGACCTTGGAGGTTGCCGCCGAGTACTTACCAGAGTGGGAATATCAATATTCATTTCCAGGGGCCGCTGAAAAATGAAAATTAACCAACCTAGATGGGAATCGAACCCACAATGTTCATCAGAACCGTCCTCCTTATAGTAGTAAATCAGGAACGTATCTGCAGTAGATATTTATTTATTTTTATTTATTTGTTTATATCATAGGATCTTAAATTGTGCCTACCTTACCCATGAGGGATTAACCATCATTGGCCATGTTTCACCAAACGATTTTGAATTTTATATATATAAAACTGACTTGCCTGTTTCCAATAAAACTTTTGATTGGTTCGCGACAAATTGGTATCTAGTTATAATCTAAAAGTTCGGAAAAATAAAAATAAAAATATATTAATACATCAACATAAAAAATAACTAAAATAATATTAATTAAACCTGACTCGTAATATAGTAAATATGATGTAAATAGCGTGTTATCGATAAGAAAGTAATATTATGTTTATGATGAGATTGTATGAGTTAACTGCAAAAAGTAGTTTATAAAACAATTTAAATTTTATAAATTATGAAGTGAAGAAGGCAAACTTAAAAAACTGTCACCATACAACTACAAATGCTTTAAAAAACTTTTAAAATGCCATACAATAAGGGATCGTTCCAATGCACATTTAATGAGTATTTAATATATGGTAAATAAAAAATGGGTGCGTCCTATACTTAAATACCTATCAAATAATTTAAAAAATAGCTTATAATTTTGTTTTATTTATGTCTTTGCAGGTTTAAAATTGACAGATATCAATAGAATGTATATTAAAATTTACAGAATTCAAAGTGTTTAGGTGTTATGTTATCAACAGTGACATGTTTATATATAGTCACGGAATCTTAAACAAAATTTGCATGTTATCAGAGTCAGACCTCGGTGCCGGACGGATGAAACCCGGCTTCCTGTGTAGTCTGTACTGTCTAACGTTCTTAATACAGCTGAGCAGTTATGTTGTCAACGTTTCGCTTATTCAGGTATTAGGGCAGAAAAAACAAAATCACATATATGCAGAATACAAGAAAAAAAATATGCCATTGACATCTTACCAAGCCATCCAAATACATACTGAAGGTTCCATAAATACTATAGAGGAAGGATATACAAAACATCTGATTAGCACAGATAAATGCTTTATAGTTTGGATTGTTCCATTTATAATATCTCTTTTCGAGCTAAAGCTTGTTTTAGTACTCAATAATAACATACATGATGAGAGTGATACAACTGCTTGTTATGAGAGCCTTAACATCAAATTGGACAGTGCTCAAAACAGTATTGAGCTACAGGAAGCCGAATGGCCTTATTGCCAACGGCATAGGCTTTGATAAAAATCAACGAACAGAAGTGGAGGGATGAAATATTCCTCGTTAACAAATAATCAAGTCGGGGTTGTTGAGGATCAAAAACCCTAGATTATGAAATGAAATGAAAATAGATTTTTATTATCCTGGGACTGTTGTCCCTTTAGGACAAATTATAGATACAGAGGAAATGCCTGTGTGGTCATAAAACTAAATTAAATATTTACAATCCTCATTAAAATTAAAATATTGGGAGAAAAATAAAACAAAAACACTAAATACATACAGATATATATATATATATATATATATATATATATATATATATATTTTTTCACAGCTTTCCTATATTTTTCACAGCCTACAATTTAAATATTCCATTCAATCCCGTCCCACAATATCCCGTACTGACCTCTATTCACCTGCTCAACGAACTGCTGCGTTTGACAAATCCTTTATAATTCAAGCAGACTCCATCTGGAATACCATCCCTTCCGATATCCGACATGCGCAATCAGTTTCCTCATTTAAATCTCTCCTTTATATTATTTTCGCATGTTTGTATCATATATATATATATATATATATATATATATATATATATATATATATATATATATATAATTTGTATATATATATATATAATATTAATATATAAGTTGTATATATATAATACAAACATGCGAAAATAAAATAATATAAGTAAACAAAATCATTTCTGGGGGAACTTAAAAAGTTCTCTTATCAATCGGGTTGGGAAAGAAGTAGGTTCTTAAAAAGGAGAGATTTAAATGAGGAAACTGATTGCGCATGTCGGATATCGGAAGGGATGGTATTTCAGATGGAGTCGGCTTGAATTATAAAGGATTTGTCAAACGCAGCAGTTCGTTGAGCAGGTGGATAGATGTCAGTACGGGATATAGTGGGACGGGATTGAATGGAATATTTAAATCGTAGGCTGTGAAAAATATAGGAAGGTCGCTGAGTTCTGATGGCATGGTAAAGAAAGGTAGCAAGGAAATACAGACGGCGGTTGGACGGATAGATCCACTTCAACTTGCTATAATACCGGGTGATATGCGTATCTCTTGAGATTCCGAAAACAAAACGTATTGCGCAGTTCATCTCCTGCAATGTTTTGCTTTGTATGATAATGTTATAATTTAATTTTAGACAAATACATCCCAACCACACCTGACCTATAAAATAGAGAGAACGTCAACGTTCATGGTAAAAATATTTAAATGGAATGCAACGGCTATCATTAGGACGACTGGTTTCACAGTTAAATGTAAAATTTTGTGCTTATCTCGCTCGACTGGTGAGAGGATTGAAGTTCCCTGTCACCGAAGAGCTTCAAAAGGAGGCTCAATGCAAATAGCCTCTGAAGGGGCTTTATAGTGTCGTCATTGCCTCTTCTGGACCGTGTCCGATCCTTGTGTCACCAAACCTATCTCGTGCGGTAATTCCTGCTCGTGCGGTTCACTCTCATCCACTTGCTCAAGCTCAATCCAATTCATATTAATCTTTTTCAATTTTACACATTAGGAAAAATATGACCTCGTTATATAAACACATAAAGGCTAAACGGTTCAGTGCCTTTTTGACCTATGTTTCTCAACCGATTTTCTATTTTATTTTTCTGTTTAGTTGCTATTGACGAGCTTTTAGTATTATCTATAAAAACATTTTGAAAACAACTTATATAAATAAAACATGAATATGTTAGTTTGCTCAAAGCCACTAATCTCCAAAAGTTCTTCACCGATTACTTTGAAATTTTGATACAACGTTACAATCAAATTCGGGGGTGTTTTTACATATATCCATTACTATCCAGCCTTTTGTTTTAAAATGGCCGCCGAAAAACGTGTGACGCTATAGACTATAGTGCCAAAACGGCTGTAACGATTTTAATGAGGATTGAAGCCCTTTTAATTTATGTATACAACACAATTTCTTGTAAAGAGGCTGAAAAAAAAGTAACTGTGGATTCAAAATTTTATTTGCGAATAACTCAAAAAGTACACAAATGGTACTGAACTATTTCGTATAACAAGTACACATTAAAGTGTATGCACGAAAATTGAAAAAGCAATGTTGGAAACTTGCAAATTCATATAAGATTTCTTTAAATTTTTAATAATCATTATAGTCAAATTTCGACGACTGGACGAACACGAGTATTAATAAATAAACCACAAAATGGGTTAATTACAACATTTCATCAAGTAACCATTCATAAAGTTAAATCATTAAATATTTTGATGAATTTTCCCTCTTTGAAATTAAAACATTCTGCTCTTAAGGTAATTTTGTATCGATATATTAATAGGAATTGTCATTTTAAGCAATTACTGTAGTTTTGAATAAAATTATAAGATCGAAATTCACAAAAACGTGCTTAAAAGTAACGAACCAAACAGGATACAGCAACTGGATAGAAATAAAAGCTGAGCATGATGCCTTCCAATACTCCGCGAACCAAGCTTCCTTTTGTCTCCCCCTAATCTCCTCATAATTCGTAGTAGGAGTGTTTTTTAAAATTTATTTTGTGGTATAAATTTACAATAAATAGAATTCAAATGGCATATTTTTGTTTGCAGATGGCCAGCATTGAAGTGTCCTTATCCACCACCCCCAGGAGGAAGAAACCAAGCAGCACAGCTTCAACCCCGGTACCTCCGTCCGTGCATGGTCTCTTTGGGCCGAGGGCTGCTCCGGAGCAAGAGGAGAACAGGGTAGAAGCTCTCTGTCAAGGGTTAGCAGGCTGTTTTATTTCAATTTTCATGCTCATTAATAACATATTTTTGTATAATAAATGACATCGTAACCTTTTATTTAACCTTTTTTTTTAAAGTATTTTTATCAATTAGCAAACTCGATCTCAATTATAATTTTAGTACTGTTAAAGCATAGGCGCTCGCACCGGAGGAGAGATTTCTATTCCTCCTACCCAAATTTAGTTTCAAGTTGAATAAATCGTATAGGTAATAATTGTATTATATTTCAGGTAATAAACTGATTACTGAGCTACTCCTTTAGGTATGGGGTTTTATCCCATTCTCCTCCCCCCCCCCATGCATTGAATACCATCAGGCTACACTAACATTCTCCCTTTTTCCTCTCCCCCAATATTTCTTAAATGCCAGGGCCTTGGTCCCGAAGTCTAAAGACCACACTGTAGATGAGAGTCCCGAGGATGACCGAGTATTGAACTGTTCATGGGTGTAAACTTCCTCTATTCAGATAGCAATTTACGTCATCACTAAACTTTCAACTGGTCCTTTACAATTAAAATCGTGGCCGTAATTAGCTCTTGATTACCTAATCTGTGATTAGAGCCCGAGTGTGCAAAACACGTTTTTCCCGACAATCTGATAAACAAATCCCATGATAAAATAAATGTGAGTCCGCTTCACGGTGTCGGGGGAGTTTTTAACTCTAGCATTAATCCCCCGCCTTCTCCCTTGACCCCGGAAAAACGCCGTATAGCCTAAAAGGCGAGGAAGGAGTGGACAAAGGAGTGGATTTCTTTTACAATTCTACTCACTACCAAATGTCAAAAAAATTGTGTGTTCAAAATAAAAAATTTCTACTATTATGTTTAAGACATGAAGAATTAGTCCAGTCAATGAACGCTCGAAAAGGGGTATAGAAGGAATTGGCGGGGACAATTTTTGACTTTGGGACATTGTTTGGACTAGTAAAGAGGTAAACATGCTAAAAGTCCCTACTCCTAGGTGGTGAGCCAGATGTGGAGAGGAGCCTAGAGACTTTTTTCGGATTTTGGTTTATATCAGGAAAACTATCCATCTCATCAAAAACGAGGTTCTATTCAAAATTAAAGCTGCTAAAATTTACAATATGATCGATTATATACTTTTTTCGCTACATCGCTTACTTTTACGAGGTATTCGTCCTCAATTATCGCTAATTTGAAAAAAAAAAAAAAAAGTTTTGCCTCTTGTTTATTGCTGTATTTCGAGTTTTCCCTTATATCAGGAAAACTATTCATCGCATCGACAATGACGTTCTATATAAAATTAGAGCTGATAAAATTTGCAATATGAATAATTATATGCCTTTTTTTTCGCTACCTCGCTTACTTTTTCGAGGTATTCGTCCTCAATTATCACTAATTTGGAAAAAAAAAAAAAGTTTTACCTCATGTTTTTTACTACTTTACTAGTTTTTGACTAGCTAACTCATGATTGCTTCGTTCTACGATTAATTTATGGGAAAAAAGTTTTTGATAATTAAATTTTCTTCAAGAACATATATTATTTTACTAGTTTATCTTCAACGGTTCAAAAGTTAGATCAATTATAATTTTATATGTCAATTCCAAGAATTTGCAGACGAAAATCAATTTTTATAATATTCGTGATTATATTGCTCCAACTCTCTATATATCTAAATCTCCATGTCTATATATCGACATACATAACATAACTTATATTATAAAAATTATTCGTTTACAATGAAACCTTAAAAAAGTTAAGTGCCAATATTTCTATGATCCACTGTATAAAATTATAATTAACCTAACTTTTGAAATGTTGAAGATAAACTATAACAATAATATATACACTTGAAGAAAATTTAATTATTAAAGACTTTATTCCCCATGATGTAATCATAGAACGAAGCAATCAAGAGTTAGCTAGTCAAATACAGTAAAAAATATTGGGTAAACAATTTTTTTTCCAAATTAACGATAGTTGAGGACGGATATCTTGAAAACTGATAGCGAAAAAATGTATATAAACAAGAATATTGCAAATTTTATTAGTTTTAATTTTGTATGAAACCTCTTTGTCGATGCGATGGATAGTTTTTCTTACCAACAAATATAATTTATTCTGAGTCACACATAATTAGGTCACAATTAAACATTTTTCAATGAAAAAATATGTTATTATAATAACCTCTTAATAAATATTATTTTATAAATGAAGTCGATTAAATACAAATATATCAGATATCTAGATAGTTATATATGGATAATTAGATAGATAGAAAGTTCTATTTTAGATGACTAATGTGTTGAAACATAGTAATCTATTCAGAACTTAAAAACAATTATTTTTTTCAAGTGCAGCCTTAATAAAGGTATTTACTTTGTAAATTACTTTAAATTTTAATAATTTATTTTTACTTTATAAAATATTTTCAGACTGAAGGGAAACTTGTGGAATAGGGGGTCAAGACAAGGAGGAAATGGGAGCCTGACAGAGAGAGAAAGAAAGACGGCACAAGAGAGATTAGCCAGGCTTAAGTGTGACTTGGATTCCAAACGGCTAACCATAAAGAATATAAAAATTGCTTTAGACACCATAGATATTTCAGAGTAAGTACATTTTATCAACAATTGCACTTAAGTAAAAGTGATATTTTGATTATGGTTGAATGGTATATGGTTTAATGATAATGGTTAAAGTTGATTATGGTATATGGATGATTGTGGTTGAAATGTATAATGTATATGTGTATACTGTATAAAGGTGTATAATGTATAAAAACTATTTTGCTATAGTTAAAACTCTATTAAAGGTCATGTAAATAAATAACAAATCTTATACAGTGCCGACCTTAGACATTCGGCGCCCCCTCTCCCCAACAATGACATCATCTCACCCACTACAAAAATGAAATTTATTCGTTAATCTGTTTTATGTTATGTAATATTTTAATTGTATTGCATTCAATATTTTTCTAATAAAATTACTTTGTTGGTGTGCTAAAATTAATAATGCAATATGTTTTATATATTTTTCATTTCTTACAAGTACCAAGCGTCCCTATAGATCGGCCGGCGTCTTGATCTTATTCTTGCGCTGGTCTTACAGTTACCTATTAGCTTATTACTATAGAGATATTACTGTAATTTGTTAGACAGGAGAAACCTAACTAAGCCCGAATGTAAAATTAGAAGAGTTGAATGAAAAAGTATATTGGTTATTCCAATTCTTTACATATAGTAACTAAATTGTCAAGTATTAGTAACTATTTTGCCTTAATTTTTAGATTTTTACAAATAAATAGATTATTTTTACCAGTCTTGGTCTTGGTCTTGCAACAGTTCAGCCGTTCTAGGTCTTGGTCTTGTGTGCAAGACCAAGACCGATTTGGGCAACACTAGCCCCGAGGCAATTACCCCCTAAGCACTGATCTTATTCCAACAGTATGAAATATTTTGATTATACTTATTAGAACTATTTTTACCATAAATGTGAAACATTGTGACAATCATTTTTTTTTTTTTTTAAATTCCTATAATATATTTCAAATTACATGGATTATTTTACTTAAAATAAACTTTATCTCATTTTAATTAAATACCTGCATAAATATTTTATCCGTTTTGTTATTTTTGCAGATCATTGTAGGTGATAATAGTTTTCCAATTTTTTTAACATGTTCTCTATTAATCCGACATTTGAATTTTCAGGAGGTATCTCGAATTTTTAAGAGTCGTTCGGGAGGGACAGTTCCGATTTTTAATTTTGACATAACATATAAGAAAAAACGTATTTATTTATAATAAAATTAGTTATTTTTGAAAACAATTATCGTTTTTATTATTTTTATTTCAAAACACTCTCCTTTATACATCCGTTAAAAGCTCTATTTGGTATGATGTGGAAAGGAGAGGAGGAATATTCAAAAGCCCCTAATATTTATCAAAAAAATAAGGTTACCATTTATTTTTTGTTTATTATAAATATTAAGTCTTCCACATTAGAAATACTATAAACGAATAAAAAACAATAAAATTAGTTGTAAATATGCATTTTTCTCTCATGCATACTGCGCATCTCGGATACGCCCTCGATGATACAAATGCATCGATATTCATATTACTTATATTTTAACAGTACGTTATCTTTGTATTTTCGTGGTCTCTAAATTTTTCTTTTAAAACAGGTGGTGATACGATTTCCTTTCTCTCGACTTAACTTTGTAAATAATTTTATCGGGATGAATTTTCCTCTCATAAGGTGTTCATTAATCCTAAATTCAAATGAATCATCGATTGTTTGCAGTAAAGTCGTTAGCTTTGATTTAATGTTTCACACATTAATAACCACTTTTCCAAACAAACTAACAAATCTTTGAATTATTAACTTAGTATAGCCATGAACCATAAACATTTAAAAATATAATTTTATATTCAATACAATCAGTAATCAGTAACAAGAACAATGATTCAGTACTTACTTTAGATGAAATGAAGAAAAAGTCACAATCAGGCCATGTTAACTAACTCTAATAAACTTACGAAAGCAACATTACTGTGATTTGCGCCTTTGGAAAACAATGCTGATTTGATCAGAGCTGCCATTAGCTGGGTCTAAGAAAAATAATTCAGCAGACAATTACCATCTCGAGTATAATCCTGCCTATACACTAATATTTTTGTTTTATGAAATAAAAACTAATACTTCGTTATAATAACAGTTTATTTTTTTCATTGTTTAATACAATCTTATTTGAATTGTTCCCCCTCCCAAAAAGATCATGCCCTGTGGATTTTGTCCTCTCCCCTGTCCTCCAGGACAGTTTGAGTTAGAAATCGATGTATAAATTTTATGTAAGACAGAATGTAATAGGCTTCAAGCTTAGATATTGTAAGATTTGAACATTACTAATGGATCCTGAATAGTTTCCAAATTTTCCAGTTCATTTTGTAATGTTATTTTTCTGAATTTATAACAAGTAAAATTAAAATAAAATCTGATTTACTCATGTTTATTGTTCCAGGCTGGTTGTTTTTCTTAAAGTTTTTTTTTTCACTTTAATAGCAGTCTATAATGGACTGTTAATACACTCTCTATTTTAGCCCTTTCTGATAGACAAATATTATTTATTTTATTTTTTTGGTTTTCATAGAAGTTTCTTGTTGATTAATTTAAACTTTTGCATTATATTATACAATTGACTTCAACACCAAATGATTAAGCAATATTTCACAGCTTTCTATAAATACATTCAGTCGGAAAAATATTTTCAATTTAAAAATTAACTTTCTACTCAGTCATATTTTATTCTTAATATGAAAATATAAGTAAGTGAAGCAGAGGTGCTCATCCCCAGGTCGATGGAACATCTTCCCCCTCCGCTTTCCAAGATATTTTATTTCTCTCCTCTTCTTAATAACAGTACAAACGAAAGTGAAATTTAAATGATCATAGATAATATACAATTAAACTTACTGCCTCTGTTCCCTGTTTTTCTCTTATCCTTGTTTTGAAACTTTTCATTCCAAAAATTCATGACCCTGTCAAAATGTGCTTCCCTCACAAATTTAATACCCCGTCAAAATGTGATCTCAAAAATTTAAATGGTGCAACTTACGCCATGAAACCCCTTCTGGCACCCCTGAGTGAAAGTAAAAAAAAAATCATACTTGTTATAGTTTCAAAGAAATTATAATATACATATATATTTTAAGTTAACAAATTTTAACTTTGTTTACATGTTGCAAAAGATGAAATATTATAAGAAATATCTTTTACAGTAACATTGATGTAAGAATACAACAAGCTGAACTTGAATACCAGCTCGGCAGGGAAGAGCTGAATTTACTGAGTATTATGGAAGAGAGCAGAAATTTACAAGTTCTTCTCGAAGAAAACAATGTTCAACAGCAAACTATCTTTAGGTAATATGCTAACAATAATATTAGGTTGTATTGACAACTATTAGGAATTTTGTTTATTTGTTTGTTGTTTTTTTCTATAGGGTTATTCATACCAACCTTTACCCACTTCTTGGCACTGAACGGATTATTATATTTTTAGTAAATGGTAAATTAACATTTTTATAAATTGCAATTGATAGACATTACCAGATTTAACAAACATTTGTACTGTAACTATCCAGCATTAACCAGGGTTTATCCCTGATTTATAAATCAAGTCAGTAGAACATGGTCTCAATCACACTATCTTCCAAGGCTAGGCATCTTTATTAGTCGCTGCCAGATGGTTTTTTCTCAATGAACTCATTTGAGACTTATTTTTATGTAATTCTTCACCCCTTCCCCTTGCATAATTGGTTTACTGTAATAGGTCAATAAAGTATAGTTTTTATCAAGCTGTAATTATAAGAGTGTTTTTGTGAATTTCAACCATATTTATCGATAAAAGAAGCACAGCAAGAGTACTGAAATGATACAAACCTAAAAATACATCAAATACAGTTGCAACAAGCACAAAATTTTCTGATTTAGCAAGGAAAAATTTATCAGAGTTCTTAGTGGTTTAAGTTTATTAAATTAAGTGGTTAGAGTAAGTAATGGTTTAAGTTTACTAGATATCATTTAATGATTTTTTGCTGGCGATATTTTCTATAAGAAATCACAAAATTAAAGGGATCTGAATTTAAATTATAGATGAGGACAATTTTGTTTGAAAAATATGACATAAAGATTAGTTATGTTCACACAAATTGTCTATACATGAATTTATGGCCAGGAAAATAGGAGCAAAGTGGCTGAGTCTTACAGTCTTGATTAGGGAATTATTTGTATGAGATGTATATCAGATATAAAATATTTATATAAACACATTATGTATATAAGTAATGTATTGATAACTCGAGTCTAATTTATTGTTTCTTCTAGTTATATAGGTAACTCTACAGTAAATCTTCATGGAATTGAATTAATGTACGACCCGAAAAGCCCACAGTTTGGTGTTAATCATCGAGAAGAAGGAGGAGTTCTGGTTGAGTGGGCATCAGAAACTTCTGGTCTTGTAAAAGGAGACAGGTAATTCTATAAAATTCCTAATAAATATACATAGAAGGATTCAAAGTTAATGTTGTTTTATTTTGACTATCCAGGACTGATATAAAACAAATAACAATAAAATATCTATAACAGATAAGATGGCTTAATACTATTTATTACAAATTTTTCCTTTTTTTTCATATGCTTAAGATAAGATTTATAGTGGTTATATATATATATATATATATATATAATTTAAATTTTAAATTTAAATTAAATTATTTAAAACCATACTCTGTATTTCAGGCAGTATGCAATTTGCAGCTTAGAGATGTTATGCAGATCTGAATGGCATCTCACTGCTATTTTATAATTTTCATTAGATGCATTATCTATTAGATATAATTAAATTTTTCTAAAACGATAGTGCTATGTTTCTTTGAAATTAATGGAGTCATTTTTAATGACACTGAAACATCAAAATCTTTAAAGTTTTTAAGAGAAAAAATGTATCAGAAAAACTATGAAAATCTACTTTTTTACTAAAAATATTGGAAAGGTATTTGTTAATATTTTTCATTTGAATTTATGGATGTTTTTGAAAAAAAAAAAACATTATAAGAAAACATAATATTAAATAAATGAATTTTTACAATTCGATGAGGAAACATAAGAAAGTTAGACCAGGAGCCAACAGTTTAAGTGGTATTATAATATTCAACTTGATTTATTAGTTATTGATATTATGACACAAAGTGTTTTTTTCTGCTATAAACAAAGAAATACAAGAAGCCATATATGAAATTTATAATTAACCTTCTTTTAATATTCCTTCCTTTCATAAACACAATTTTAATATATAGGTTAATAATTATAAAAACCTAATAAGCATACTTTATTATTATTCCAAAATCACTTCTAATTATATACATTTATTCAGTAGAAAAAATTAATTATTGATATATTTTATTTTGTATTGTTCTAGACTGTTAGAGGTCAACGGAAAGTTGGTAACTCGAGCTGAGGAAGTAGGAAGACTCCTAGTCGTAGCACCAAGTCCTGCTCAAGTTGTGGTGATGCGGAAGCAACGTGCAGACCAGCTTATGTCACATTTGCAGGCAGAGCTCTCAGTTGTTAAAGAGAAAGCTGGAGAGGCAGAACGTACCAGGGATAGCTTCCGCAGGGATAATTTACGCCTCACTCACAGGTTGGTTAGGTGTGCAGGTGGACAAATCTCCATATGATCATATGATGCTTAGAATGACCATTAAGGTGTTTCTGGTGTAATGTCATTCAATGCTGATAATTTCAGAAGTACTTTGGCTTAAGTATGTTAGAAGCAGGGTTTGAAATAGATAATTTAAAATATATTAAAATTTTTATTTGAAATTTTTAAAAGTCATTTGATGATTTTTATTAAGAGTGATTTTTATTTTTGATCATAAGTGATAAAAATTATATCCTGTTCTTTATTTTTGAACAAAATTTTTACAACAAACAATAATAATAGTTCTTGAGTAATACTTTTTTAAATCAGAAAAATAAATTTTTTGTAATATCTATGACATATTTTTAATCTGGAGTAGTAGGTGGAGAATATTGTTGGCAACTATTAGCAAAAGAACATCTTTATTTCCGAAATTTACTAGAAAGTTTGGCTTCCGAAAAAAAAAAAAATATATATTCATGTATATTGCGTAGACACCACGTCCACAATTAAAGTGATTTCAGAAATATAATATTAAAAAATGTGTATATTAATATCATATACATTCTATTCTATTCAGTCGGCGCTACAACTCGATATCGAGTCTGCCAGCCTCTACCAATTGTCCATATTCTGTGAAGCCGCAATCCAGCTCCCCACTCCTAACATGGACCTGGCATCACCAGCCACACTGTCACTCCACTGAAGCCAAGGTCTTCCTCTACGCCTTGTTCTGTGCTTTACTTCTGTAATGATTTTCTTTGGGATGTTATTCTCAGCCATTCCAGTGATGTGCCCAACCCATCTCAATCTATCCAGCTTCATGAAATGAACCTCGCCTGGTTCTTTAAACAAATCTTTGTACTCCTGGTTTGTCTGATGTCTAAAACTGGTTAATTTTCACAGCTCCAAAAATTTTATGCAAAATCTTCCTCTCAAAGACCATTAGACACATACATACATATTAATATTTTATTTGATTTGTGTGTAAAAGGTGATTTTAATTTTTGATCAAACTTTTATTAATCACAATTTAATCATTATTATTTATGGAAAACCGAATAATTCAGTGAGTGGTCACTATTTTTAATCAAATCAATAAACATCAAAGATTGATTTAAATTTTTATTTATAAATCAGGCATGATTTTTAAATTAAAAATCAAATATAATAATTACTACATGATTTTGTGGAAGAAATAATTATCGATTTCAAATCCTGGTTAGAAGTCAGTAAAAAAAATACTATGTTTATTATTTTATTTAATGACATAAGCTCTAATATTTCCAAATAACACAGTACTATTATTATTTAAATTAGTTTCAAAATAATGTTTATTGTTTTAGGATTTCATACCTAGAAGAACAAGTAGCAGAGTTACTTGAACGTGCCCGAGAGTCAAAACCAAAGGCAGTGCCTCAAGTGTTTCAAAAAGGAAATCAAGTAGCACTTGTTGCAAACTTACCAGGCTTAGAAAAAACTGAAAACAATTTACCCCAAGCAAAAGGAAGATCTCATCACGATGAAGCAAGATCTGCCAAGTCCGTAGATGTGATTGAAAAGCCAAAAAGGAAAAAGGACCTTCCCTCAGCTCGAAGTACACATTCATTGGATGTGGAATGCAGTAGGCAAAGGCATTCAGACCACCTCAGTGGTGAGCCACGGCAAAGGCATATTCGTGAAGCTAGATCTTCCTTGTTCAATTTTTTAGATCGTACCAAATATGATTTTGACTCTGAACCAAATCTTGATTGTAGTTCAGAGAGTTCTCTAAGACACAAAAAAGACAAGGTGAGACCTGTACCACCTAAGAAGCCCATCAGACTCTCCCTAACAAGAGCAACAAGCCTTCAGTCCGTTGATAATTCCGAGAAGAAATCACTCAAGCGAACACACAAAGGTGAGGCTCCTCCAGTTCCACCTTTAATAAATGGACACAGTAAAAGTGTCGGTAAGAATTATAGCATTCTCATGAATGGTCATAAAGATAACCATACCACTAGTCAAACAAATGGTCAGGTTAATGTTCAAATACATAACCAAAATGGCCATGTAAATACAATAAAAAGCAGTCATAGCCATAACCATAACCATAAACATAATCACAGCCACACCATACATCTAACACAATCAGAAAGCAAATGGTGCTAGGAACACTGTTTCTTTTTAGAAGACTACTCCTTGTTTTTGTGATAAACTTTATTTTTAACAAGAGATTTGTTAAGATACTGATAATGAACTAAGCCAAATTATTTTTGTATAAGTGATTTTAGGTTTAATAATATCATGTTCCTCTATAAGTTTAATATTTAAAAGATGTAATAAAATTACAAAATTATACCCTAGAAATTTACGTAATGTTAAATGTAAATTATCAACTTGAATATATAGTATAAAAATTATTGAATTTATTTGTACAGTTACTAAACTATAAAAAATATAATTTCTGATTTCATTTTATCCTCATTTCATATAAGTATATAAAAGTTTATTACGGATGCAGTTTATAATCTGTACTCCTAACATAAAAAAAAAAGTTAATACACACATTAATTGAATTTACTAGTAAAATAAGTTTAAATTATTACTAGATTACAAACTTTTATAACCATTTCATTTATATGTACATATAATTGTATGTAAATATTTTAAATGTATAGTATAGCTTTATTCTAATTAAAGAAAGTCTTACTGCTTCAGTAGATGATAAATTAATTTCTGAATTCTGAAAAATAAATAAATTACAGTGATGAATTGGATACCTGTGTTCGTTTATTCCTCCTTGTAGCTTTTTAGAACTCTGTGAACATAGGAAACTCAGTCCTAGAAAACTGAATAAAGGAGGTCTAAAAAAAAAAAAATACTACAGTCAAATTCTCTGTCACAAATAAAATTCCTTGCTTTCCCTTCCTCCGATCATATAAAGAAGTGAAAAAAAAAAGTGAATGTAATTAAATCTTTTAACTAGATCAAAATATTTATTAATAACTGTTACGTAAGATTGGATAATAAAAAATTACTTTTCAAACTAAACTTAGGGATGTCCTAAATATTATATCAGTTTAAAAACACTTGCCTATTATCATCCTATGTTAAAAAGCATTGATGCCTTGCACAATCTTCACAAGAAGAAAATTATGATAAATGATAATTTCTTAACCAGGAACGACTTATGGGAGATAACTACTTAATTATGATTCTTATTAATTTTCTTTATATACATTGAGAGTTACAATAATTTCAACAAAATCCTTATTTTATTTTATTCAATAGCAGGAAAAAGCTTAATAGCATATAGCTATGTCCTATTTATTTATTTCTAATTTTGCAATAAATTGATTGAAGAAATCAATTATATAAAGAGGCACTTCCAATTAGCCAATATTTAAAAAAAAAGTTGCTGTAAGGTCTCAGGTATACATTAATATTTAAGTAGCACAGGTATGCGAAAGTAAAAAAAAATTTCATTTTCTTCGAATTACAACAATGTTACATTTTAATTATTTGAGTATAAATATAAAAGATTTTTCAGATATTGATATTGAGAATGCTGGGCTCCTACTCAGTCAAATTTAATGAATCAATATTTGAGGTTTCATCTATGTATTGACTGTGTAAGGGCTACATTGGCATCAATTATATAGACGTCAATCAAACCGGTTGATATAATTTTTTTTTTTATTGAAGCTCTTTCAATATTATTCAAACGTGTACAGATCCAAGGTTAGGGTTTACACGGTGAAGTGCGCTCGCAAAAATGAGAGCCTGGAACGATTTCATCGTTAATGAATCTTCAAAGAATCCTTGATGTATTTCATACAGATTGGCTATGGGAAAATTGAGGCAATTGTAGACATTGGCCGCTCTTAAGTATGGAGATATTCGGGCAAGTACACCTGAAGAGTCAGCAAGTATATTTATTGAAGCAACATACCCCAAAGATGGTCCATCTCTTGATAGCTTGGCGTAAGATTTGGAAGAAAGTTTAACATAACGCCTTGGCAAACAGAGAGACAGTCGCCCTAAATGGTCTCAGTCGTGTTGGTGGAGCATTCTGGAGCCTTAGATACCCAGCGATCAAGACTATCTACAAAGGAGTGGTGCTGGGAGTATTAAGGTATGCATCCTCCTCATGGTACCTGAATCTCCCAAGCGAAAGAAGAACAAGTTAGCATCTATCCAGAGGATGACTCTGTTGCAGGTTACCAGAGCATACAAGACAGTGTCTCACGAGGCAGTGCAGATCTTAGTAGGGGAGATACCTCTCGATCTCCTCCTGAAAGAAGACTTGATCAAATATGCCTTTGGGAGAGAAGGTTTGACAGAGATTCTGGAGGACCTTCGAGTGAGGATAAAGGAACGGCCCAATAGGTGGAAATCAATATTGAGAGTGCTACCGTCGAAGAGTGGAAGAGGTGATGGATCACTACCACTAAGGGGGCTACCCTGAGTAAGTATTTTCCCATCCTTCAGTCTCGACTAAAAGCCAGATGGATCAAACCAGACTATTGGGTCTCTCAATTCCCCACGGAACATGGGGGCTTTCGGGCCAAGTTACACAGTCTTGGGCAAGGCATCGATCCCCTATGCTCCAGTTGAGGTATCTCGGAATCTGCCGAGCATGTGATCACCAACTGCACTGCGTTTCAGGCACTGAGAGCCAAACTAATAAGGAGCACAAATATCTACACTATCAACGAAGGAGATTTGCCTGTTCTCGTCGCTACAGATAACTATGCATACTATGAGAAATTCGTGTATGGGTGGAAAGAACAAATAGGAGCAGTCCATTTCAATATGGGGGTTAGACGGAGACTTCCACAGGTTTAATCTGGGGTGACGCCAAGATAGAAATATACAAGAAAAGAGGAATTTAACAAGAAAATCCAAACTTAAACGGAATCCCGTGTTGTCGAAAAGACAAAGAAGGAAGAGAGAACACACCTCCCTGAAGATCTGCAAAGTCGGGTCGAAATATAATAGTTTTGCCACTATTTAGCCTATTTATGACCGCCATCCCGGACCATCTCCTTCTTTTTAAAAAAAAAAAAAAAGTACCTACCTATATGTTCAACGTAAAAAAAAATAGCGAAAGTTCTCCTGACATTTTCTACTGAGTTACTATTTTAGAAACCTTGTAAGTAGTAAATTGATCGCAATTCATACCAACATACTAATCAATTTTTAGTTTGGAAATTTTTCACAGAAGTCCGTTTATTAAATCCAATAGGATATATTTTCGAGGATATATTTATTTGATTTTGAATATATTTACTGAGGTCCGTTTACTAGGTCCAGGTGTGAACAATGCAACAGATGCAGGAAATTTTAACAATTTAACCTATGACTGTTAGAAAACTACGGATAATTTTCACTCCATAAATACTAATTTCTGATCACTAGCGGATCCAGGATTTAATTTTTTTTTTTTTGCTAGGAGGGAAAAGCTTCAGCCCGAATAATTTTTTTTTTTCATATACATATAACGATAGTTAACTTAAAAAAAAAGAAGAAAGAAATTAAGTACCTATATGAAATAGTGTTTAAGTGGTTCTTGAAGTCCTATTAAATGTAATTACAGAAACAAGGATACTTTAAGAGATAGTTTTTAATATATTTTTTTCTGTAAAACATGGTTATATTTTACCACCTTGGGGAAGCTTCCGCTGGAGAACCTACCCCCGTAGATCCGCCTGTGTTTCTGATTAATAAACTCATATATTCTGTTGCTATTACGATATGCCTAAAAAACACTTTTTTTTCGTAACACGGCAATTTAAATTGTTGTGAACTACCTATTTGCAGTACTTCAATAACTATACTATTATGTTTTTAAGACGGATAGTAATCGGCAGTGGCGCACAGTGAGACCGATTGGCGACTAAGAAGACAAAATTCATAGAGCCTAAGTTTTGATTGGAAATCATGTATTCGTCATAAGCAAATAGAAATAAAACTTTTATAGTAATTAAGTCAATATAATTTAATTTATGTTGAAAATTTATTTTTAAGATAATTAAAATTTAAAATAGTAATTTTAAAGAATTAACAAAACAGTGACAATGATATTAATAAACAGAAAATCAGTATAGAAGTATCCAAATTAATTTGATATTATTTCCTCATCCTTCTAATCAACATCACTAAAAATCTCACTCTCTGACTTAAATCCGTCACAATCGCTTCCTAACTGCAATTTATATTTTCTTTTTTTCCATGCATAAACCTCTTCTCCCTTCAAAAATCCATAACCCCGTAAAAATGTGCTCCCTCAAACATTTTGATGGTGTACGCTTGCGCTATACAATATCGTACAAAGGCAATGATTCCAACTATAAATAAAATAATGCAGGAGCTATTTGTTAAGTGGTGGTACTGAAGGCCTGCTCGCCCAAACCTCACTTTTCCGTAGCCTACTTTGAGAGTTTAAACTAATTTAATTAAAAATTTTACTAGGGCATATTTTAGGTCAACAACTATTTTTAAAAAATATGTTATATTACATTTTTCATATTTTGAATGTTGCTTTTGTCCTTCCGGGCAATTACCCGGGAACAAAGAACCTGTTAGGAATAAAAAAGAATTATAAAGCATTTGAGAATGAATAATTTTGGCCTATTAATAAAGCAAATGAATTAGAGACATAATGAACGGAATAAAATTCAGATATGTCTTAATATAAAATAGGGTAAGAAATAAATTAAATTTTTTGGACTGACATGACGCCAATAATTTCTTGGCGTTTTAGTCTTCTTAGAGGATTTCAGGTAAGACGCTTGTATGATAGCGGATCTATTCAACAGAGGTTAATTAAATATTTTTAAAGGATACTATAACTATATATGGCATATAATTCTTCAGTTTTAACACCATTCATCAAGGGCTCTTATGTGTGATTGGAGAGCCTGGGAAGCTACAGTTGGATCATTGTTCACCGATAAATTTAAAGATTAAGATTTAAATCAGGAAGTGAATTCAGACGTTTCAGAGCGGATTTATGTAGGACCTGATTTTATCAATGATAGGAAGCAGAGAGAAAGGACAGCATGAGGGAGGTAGGTGTTTCTCTCGAAATTTCTTTCGTTCTGGTGTTTTGTTGGATTTTGGGATCATTTTTATTTCCAAAACTATTTCCAAGAGTCATTATAGTC